ATCACTCAAAGTTTTGCTCTACACCAATATATTAACCAAAAAAACAATAATTGATTTATCTAAATAAATACAAAAGATATTGTTCATCAATTCCCTGAATGTAGCGGGTGCATTAGTGGCATCAAAAGACATCACTAGGTACTCAAAGTGGTCATACCTAGTACAAAAAAAATCTTTGTTTATCTTCATTTACAATTTGAATTTGATTATAGCCGCTTCTCAAATCTAGCTTGGTGAAAGAGGATAACCAATTTTAGAGTCAAAATTTTGGGAAAAATTTACTTCATGAAAATACTCGGATTTAAAGAAGAAAAATTTCCACGCTTATCCCGTACTCTTGTCACAACACGGTTGATTCACATTCTGCTCAAACCCATCTTCAATGTTTACAACAAGTCGCACTTATAATCAAATCTACTTCCTTGCATCAAACCACTATTCATGCAAAAACTAAGAGTAACTTGAAGAATATGAGTTCACAATATCAAACACTTTATCATCTTAGGTATTTGGTGTTTACAACAAGTCTCTCTTGTTATCGAATCTACTTCCATCTGTCAAAATACAAGTCATTCAAAGACTAGTAGTACTCTGAAGAATATGAATGCACAATATCAAACACTTTGTCATGTTGAGTTTAAAGTCTGTACACGGAAAGCTTCCACTAACATTTCCGACTCTACGGCTCATGTGTAATATACAACTTGTTGCACCATACTACCGTATGCACTTGAAACGCATAGATGTTGTTGTCTAGAATGGAAATTAGAATGCATTCCAATTAAATAGTTCTTATAAGTTTGAGTAAATATTTTTTCATGACAAATGTAAAGTACTATTTGCACTGTTTTTAGAATCTTAAAACTTATCACTTGCTTCATATAAATAGCATTTATGAACCAATCATCATTTGCTGGATGTTATATTATTTGCAAGCTTAAATATATTTGAGTGAAACAAAATCAAATAATTAGAGTTTGAATATGAAGTAATTTTGAATTATGAAAGATGTATGGAAATTGTAATCCAAAGAGTTATAATATTACACATATGTAAGATTGATTTATATATTAAAGTTTTTTTCATAGTGAAATAATATTTTGATTGATAAAAAAATATAAGTGTGAGAATTATCTACTGTTTGAAAATCAAAATTTTTTTTGATTTTTTTCCAGTTTTTATTTTATTAAAACCTAAATTTTTCATGAAGTCCTTTTTACTTTATGATATGAACTACAAAATTCATCTGATTATGCAATCTTGTTAATGTTACATAAAGAAAAATAATTTTTACCAATATAATATACCATCATCATGTTTAAAATTAAGACTTTTATGATTAACAACATCTTGATTGTCTAATATGATAAGTTTTAATAGTTTGAAGATTGCAAAGGTTGAGCAAGAAATCTAAATCAGCATAAATAATGTCGAATGTAACTTTTAAATGTTGATCAATTCTAGTACTGCTTTTCAAATTAGTATTCAATGTAGAAATGAATATTTCAAAAGCTTGATAGAAATATCAATAATCTAATCTACCAAAATTTAAGTACAAATGATATAAATCAAAAGATTCAATTCACCTGAGTTTTACATTTCAAAGTTTTTTTATGATGTGAATTCAACTATTTTATTTAGTATATCTTGATTTGAAGAAAATTTTTATCATGAAGCTTTTTTTGCATTTATTTTATTTGATAGATTCAATAAATATGATTAAATATTAGTTATATTGTTTGTAATTGAGAAAATATTTTTGCAACTAATGAACCCTATGAATACATTACTTGTAAATAATCAAAAAATTGATGAAAAAATTTAAGACATATTTTTGTGAAAATTGATAATATTGTAAAATTAAAATAAAACTTTAAAACTTTTTTGATGAAATAAATTAAATTACCTCATTCAATAGATTTTTTAAATTGATTGAAATGCTCTAAATAGTTATATGGTTTATATCAATAATAATTGCACACATTAAAAAAATGTATTAATAGTTTTTAAATTTAAATATAGTAAAATAAATAATTTAACTATAATTTTTATCGTGTAATATAAAACACAAAAGACGATTTTCAACAACTTGTTTCCTAAATTCAGTTAAAAATATTTGAATTTATTCTTTAACTTTTGAAATCATCTACTAAAATTGGTTATATTTTAATATAGAAAGTAATAAACTTCAATTGTTTGAATGAAATTTTTTGTTTCATGTGCATTTGTCTTATGAGAGCAATTAAAAAGTCAAGTTCGCAGCGGTACATTCAATGAGAGTTACAATCGATCAAACTGACTCAATCTTCGTATCTTAAAACCAACAATGAAGGTAGCGACACATCTAGATCTGAAAAGAAAGCACAAAAACTAGCCTTATCTTAGTGAAAAAATACCACATACTCTGACCAGTGAGCTGCAGTCAAATGCTGTTTAATTGCAGTCCATTCGCTGCAAATCAGTGAGAATGACATCATTCGGTTTCATTGATTGAAGGTCATGTGCTTAACTTTCAACGACCCGCATCCAAACCCTGTACTAACACTTGGTCGAGGAGCTAATAGTTGCTACGCCTCGTACAGGAGAATAAATCATCTGCCCGAGTGCATGACCTCAATCGTCGAAGCCCTCCAGTTGTATGCTCTATGCATTCTCAGGTAATCTTTCAGTCACCGGGATCGAGTTTCGATTGCGGCTCGTGTCGGGTAGTTTCGATATAGATCCATGTCATAAGTTGTATGTGGTGATAGTGGACGCAGAGGCTGATTCATCAAGGATTCACTTTCGAGCTGTTTCGTTCAGACTGTCAGAAGTAGCAATACGAGTCTTTGTAATGTGAATCTGGAAAAGTTAGAATTCCCACAAAGCTAAACTCGAGATCGCATGAAGCAGCTCTTGATACTGAAGCAGCATTAGGAAGAATGAAGTATTGTGCTTTTTTTGATCTTCATGGAAGATATCTTAATTGCTAGTAAATTTTTAAAAAGATCGGCATCATAAAAAATAATTTGACCGATGTCAATATGATTGATACATGATTTTAAGAAGAAAACAGTCCTATCAAATGAATTGTCACATGCTCAACGAATTGTAGATTATGTCATGATTTACTAGGATTGTAATATTAATATCATTATATTTTTTTATTAATGCTGGTAATTTTTCTATGACCATTGATGTGTTTGGTAGCATGAAAAAACTAGAATAGAAATTTTATAAGTTTTCCTTGTTTTTAAATCTTGGAAACAAGGAGTAAAATTTATGGCATTTTGGGTTGTGTGAAGTGCATTTAATTTTTGAGATGGAATTTTGATTTACAACATGTATTAAATTTCATTTCCGAAATTTTTTAATCAAATACAGTGTCGAGTAGATACACCTAGAAATTATACAGAGATAGCAGTCCCCTTCACCCTAAGGTTCTGTTTAATTTGAGTCGTTACTATGATATTAGTTGGTGTTTTTTTACGATAACGTTCTGCTTGCAAGATCTTGCCGTCACTTACCATGATTTCAGCAGATTTATCGTCATTCACTCCACATATTTGAGAATGTCGATCAAATATGCGGATCGACTTACTCCATAACTGTTCTCATGGATTCAAGTGGTTGCATCAAGATCAACTACATACAAATAACAGGCAGACGCAATTCGTATGCTCAACGACACAGAGGACCAAGTCGTCCCTCTTGACCAAATGCACAAAGTGTGACTCTATAGTCCAGACCTGCAGGTGTCCGACCCTGAAGAGGAAATGTCACATGTCTCGGTTTAAAAAAATAATCTAACAGAAATCTTAAAATACTACGAGATGATCATCCACTCACCGTTGTGTAACTTTGTATCAACTAAAACTTTATTTTGATAACACCAAGTAATAAGATGTACGTTTGTATTGTAAAACCAGCTATGAAGAAAACGACTTATCTAGACCCGATAAGAGAGTACTAACTGGCCCTGCCTTTGTGAAAAAAAGTTACCTACTCTTCGACCAACCAAGTGTTCAATTGCTGTCAGTTCGTGTTAAACTACAGTCCATTCGTTGCAAGTCAGTGAGACAGAGAATTTCATCATTCGGTTTGAAAGTTTAAGGTCAGGAGTGCGTAACTTTTAATGTTCCGAAAGCCAACTTGGGCATCCAAATCCCGTGTTAACATCTGGTCGAGGAACTGATGGTGGCCACGCCTCGTACAGGAGAATGAATCATCTAACCGAGTGCATGACCTTAATTGTCAAAGACCTCCAGTTTTATGCTGAACCCATTCTTAAGTACGGTAATTTCTCAGTCATCGAGGTCGAGTATCGAGCGGCTCCATCTCGGGGAGTTGCGATATGAACTTGTAGACGACTTTTGTCTGGTGTAAGCGTACGCAGAGGCTGGTTCATTTGAGCACCTTCATTCAGATTGTCAGAATTGTAATACGTGTCTATGTACCGTGAATCTGGAAAAGTTCGTGGCCGCTAAAAAGTTTGTCACGAGAGTCACATGCATACTTCGATCGGATTCGCAAATTCTTGTTAGCATCTCCCAGATCCACACCATTATGTCACATATCAGTGAACGATGTTTACATTTCAAGTTCTCTCCTCGAACTCAGTAGCCCACATATCCTAAAGTAATCTTGTTTTGAGTATTTTCGAGCACATTCTGCTTTAGTTCTAATGCTTGCTTCGTTCATCACATATGGTCCCCGACCGCGCGTATTCAAAGTGGACTACGGGAATGAGCTAAGAATCGATAATCTAATCTCAACTTAGAGAGCTATTTGCAGGCGACTAGATATATGAAAAGGGAGAGGGTGACAGTCGTCAGCTCATGTCGGGTTAGAGATAAGCCGAACGATCTGTGGGTGATACTTTCCGACGTGTCCCTCAATTCTTCAATAGGAAGAATGATTAGAGTGGGGCTGGTGAGTCCAAGGGAAAAAGTGATATCCATCTGTCAATAAATTGCCTCGCTTCTCTGAGTATATAAGAATCTCATTCAAGCGTCTCTTGCGTGCTGAATTCACAAGAGAATTGGGCGCTGTTTTTGACGGATTCGTCGGCAGGATTGAGGTGAGCTCGAAACCAGATCCAATCACACACTGTGAATATGATCAGACATCGAATTTACTTAGAGCAGTAGTTCAAGAGGTGATCCTCAGAGTACCTAGTCACGTGGAGTTGTAAGCATGCGAATTCCTCGATTCGAGAGTTATTGTGACAACCCCGTGGTGACAATAAGCTCGAGCTCTAGGAGACAAGAATACTGGAACGATAATAGATTTGTACTTATTCACTAAGTTTGCCTTCAGAGCTCATGAGGCTGCTCGGTGAAGAGAATTCCATTCTAAAGTACGTTATTTGTCTGCAGGTACCAGGGTACTCTACAAAATGGCTCGTATGTCGGCCGCTGCGTACGTTTTGCTGGTGTGCGCCAGCTCGTTGATGCTCACGAGCTCCGTGGAATCTTTTGCGAGCGTGCTGCTGCAAGGTTCCAGTTTGTATTCTGAGCAATATCTATTTGAGGGACCTTTTCAGTTCAAAATGCAACAGGACTGCAACCTCGTGTTGTACAAAAACGGGCGACCAATCTGGGCGACCAATACCGGTGGTCGAGGCCGCAACTGCGAGTTCAGAATGCAGCGAGATGGAAACGCTGTACTCTACACTGGCTATGGCGACCCCTTGTTTGGATCCAACACTGCCGACATGAACAACGGTGATCACTACATTGTTCTCCAGTGTGATGGCAACGTGGTGATGTACACTGCAAACGGGCGACCCGTTTGGGCCACCGACACAGGCGGAAAGGTCGAGGTCATCGATCTCGGCACAGCTCCCACTCCAACCATGAACTCCACCTCGTCGGATGTCATCATGTCTGTGACAGGAGGACGATCTCACTAATGAGCTGACAAGGAGAAATCCTTCTGTCAGTTACCATCCCAAGAAGCAAACCAACTCTGAATGTGGCAGATCCAAACAGTTATGTGCAAATGGATGCTAGAATTTCTCGAGTTGGATTTGCATATATAGATCTGGTGTATAGATCAAGATGGTTAATGTTTGCTAAATAATTGTACGCATCTGGGATCACGATATAGACCTTCTCAGATTTCTGTACACATCTTTATTCTGGTATAACCTAAGTGTGCGTTTGAGATGTGAGATTTCCATCCATCACCATGTTGAGAATATGGTAAGGTATCAACGATTTATGGCGGTTTGTAGTCTGGGAATGTGGAATCTGTCACTCTAAAGATCAGAACGTCATGCATGCAACGAGGGAGGTCAAGTGGAGGAGCGTGAAAAATAGTGCAGCTAGCTCTACACGTTTGTATTTGCATGCAAGAACACTTGCACGTGATGTGTGGACCGTAATCTGCATGACACTCACGTGACATGAGCACATCGTGCCAGCACAAACTTAGATCGAGCTGCTGATATGAATGCAGCTACTGTACTTGTTTGAAAGCCAAAGAAAGTCCTACACATAACACAGAAAAAAGTGACTGCAACTGGCTTGGTTAGTAGCACAATTATTGCACTATCGTTTAGAAACTATTTCATATCGTGTAAACCCAAGCAGTGTAAGATTATTTGGACCCTGTGGTTCCAAGCGTGTCTATGCACGTGCTTGAAGATCTAATATATTCTACTGGAACAAGCTCTAGAACATCCAAACTTTACAAATTTTTTTTGCAAATTGAAGGTTTATACTTGTTTCTACGAAGGTATCTGTTCCCGTAAATTGGTTGTAATGCATTGATATTGTCATGTTCTCATCTTGCGAACCTCAACATCCTGTTGGTTTCCCCGTAACCTGTTATCCTGACCTTCATTGCTGGTTTGGAGACTTAGCTCCGCAATAACCACATACGCTGTTATTTGTTGGGACCAATTTTTTACTCTTTTCAAGAACAAACTATGTAATTCATTCTTCTAGAGCACTAGGACATATTAGAAAATAATTTCTGATAATGAATGAATCTCAGAATATTCAGACTCCTTGTAAACTATGGTAATGTGTGTCCCTGAAATGAAAATAGTGGAGTTATTGTTTGCTTTTCATCTTGTTGTAGGAGTTCTCGTAATATTTCCCTCAACAAGAACTTCAAACCTGTAATATAAAACTCATTTTCTTAAAATAATCTTTTTCTGTTAATTTCTTCCACTATATGCAGGGTTTGGACGCCGTTCACGAGTTCTCTTAGTCTCCAAGTGACCTAAATTTTGTCCTCAATGGCCTTAAATCCCAACAAGCAAAACTGAGAATCTCACTTTGTGGAAACTTTCGGTAGGCGCGATTTCTTTGCCAAATCAAATTATTTAGCGGCCACTATGGTGGTTATTCTCATGCTCTTTATCACACCCTTTTAATCTATATTTTCTAGCCATTGTCTGAATTTCTTCTTCGTATTGCTTCTACATAAACGTTTCTACTAGCCGGGGAAAATGAAACTTCTAAAACCTTCTTAACTAATGTTAATAATCGTCAATAATCAAGAACTGTTAAATTGTTCTAGACACTGCTCATAAGCACATAACTAAAACCGCTGATGAAAACCTAACCATACACAAACTTCGAGTTAGAGGTCTAATCTATATCTCGAATGTGACTCTAACCTTATTTGGAGGATAAGATGTATAAATTGAAATACTATAAAGTATGAGATTACCCCGATCAGTTCCTACATCACATGAAACCAAAATCTGCTCCAAGAGCATCACAACCGGAAATTATTTTTTCTGCACTTAATTTTAATGAACTATCTGATTCAAATTCTTAACAAAGTTCACCTTCCCAAGAATGCATCTTAGTGAATGACGTTCGATTTTGTGTTCCAACGGCAACCTTTGAACCTATCGTAATCGTGAAGCATGAAAACAATACTCAGTCAAAACTTCTGAAAGGGTAGATATTATTCTTTTGAATCCGTGCTTTCGCGACCTGACAGTTGGAGATGACCTGCCTATCTATTATAAGGTTTCGAAGATAAGTGTTAAACATTCTCCACCCTTCTTTAAATATTTTGTTATACGTGGTAGTGACGGTGGAAAATCTATGAATTACACTTTTTACCCTAATCAGCTAAAAGTCTCGATTGCCGTGCTGATGATGATAGGTTGTTCCTAACTTTCGCCTTTGATCCTACCGTCTATCTCATTCAGTATGAATGATTTGAGGCTTCCAAATTAATATCATTCAACATCCTGCTGAATTCATGCATCATTAAATTGAAATTCTTATCTTTGAACGTTTTGAAAATCTACACAAATAGTATTACTTAGTATTTTTTTATGTTTTGAAATCCAATGAGGTGTTAGATGGTAGACATCTTTTATGAGAACACAAGGCATAGGTATGTGGATTTGAGCATCAATTTATAATATTTTTAATATGTCAATGTAAAGCGACTGATGAGACTAAGCATGAAAAGAGGAGGTCAATCGATCTGCCTGTCTAACCGTGGATGCTGTGCTAAAGGAATGATCATACGAACAAGCTTTGGAAGGATGGATGAATTGTAATCTTGGATGAGATAGCTACATAGCTGGCGGTGGTGAGGAAGTACTGCATTTTCGAATAATGACCTGTCCAAATTGAATCTCGCAAGAGCAGTAATATATGTGATTGGGCGGAATCGGAGTGGAAGTTGTAGATATTCATGACATTTTACGGGTTTCATCCAAGTTTTGGAAGATCCAAGCACAAAGGTTAACGGAGTGAACTCAAATCGAGTATCAAATCAGCGAAAAATGGGTTGGACCGGGTGAAAATGTATGGAACTAAGGGGAGGTGGAAAGTTTTAGCAATGAGAGTGTTTGTCCGCTTACTCCTCACCTAAATCAGGTAAAGTTGGTGATTACTAATAATCGGAGGAATCATTCATTTGGAAATGAATGATTCCTCTTTAGATCTTAAATCAAAATTTCATTTCCACCGTAATTATGTGATAAAATTATTAATTTTTAAAAGATCACTACATTTAGTAAATTCAAATTCATTGATATGCTAAAAATTAATTTAGTTCAAAAATTATAGTAGGCCTATTTTCAAATTGTAAAAGTATAAAACTGTGGATAGCCTTGAGATTTCACGATATTCATAAAAAATCTGAAATATAATATCTTGAACCTTATTTAAAATCTTGAAGTTTGAGAAAAAGTGAATGAATAAAAATAAATTTTCAAAAATATAAGAAAAAAATGAGAAAGTTTTTTGTTATAGATTGATTATTTTGTTATGCGTATTGAAATTGGGCTGTAAAAGACCACTATGTACACACACAAAATCAATTATTCTTATTTTTTGAAGAAATACGTAAATTTTCATAAAATTTAAAATTTATATATGAACACTATTTTTCGGGATTTGAAAAAAATTTAAGATTTACTGCTTTTAAATAAAAAATTTGAATAAAATTTCCTTAAATGTCATAAATATTTAATCTAACATTTTAACCATTCAAGCGAAAGTAAGTTATGTGTGTCGTTATAAAATTTCATTCTCTCATTGAGATCAAAAAATATACACAATATCTAAACGTTCAAACAATCTTAAATCATTGTAATGAGCATTCAATATTATTAAGTGAAACTGTTCATGATTGTGTTGAATTACATTATATTTATTTTATAAAAGAGACTTAAAAGATACACAATTCAAATCTGCTTTTATAGGCAATCTAATTTTTTCATGCCATAAGTATTTTTTTTCATATATATATCTTCTGATTTGTAAGAATCCAGTTGAAAAAACATCAATGCACCAATAGATACGTGCATAAATATACAGTTTAATAAAAGATAATTTTTAAGAAAAAAAGACACAAAAAAAAAATTATAGCAATGCTGATGAATTTGCACCTTACAGAAATGTAGCAAGCTAGAATTCGGATTTTTTTTTGAAATATAGAATTTTTTAAATATTTAGCATATTACTTATATCATTCACTATAATAATATTGATGCTTTTCTTGTGAACGCTTGATAAATTTTTTATTCAAATTTTTTATAAATGACTTTAATTGCTAATAATAGTTCATTTAAATTATTATACATCAGCTTTCAATTATTTTTGTTTTGTCAATAATATTTAACATCGTGGATTGACAACTAAAAGTGAATAACCTCATTTTGACCAACTAACTTCAGTCAAGTTACAATTGATGGCTTGATTTTATATTAGCCAATTGATGATGATGATGATGATAAGTATAGATCATATATAATAATATGATAAAAATTTTGGTTAAAAACAATAATTTAGTTATGCAAGAAGAAAAATAGATAAACAAAGATGTGATTTCATCAAATTTTTATTTTGCATAAAAATTTACAAAAATGTATCAAAAAAGTATATATAAGTTTTGCATCAATCAGTTGAAATTTATCAATTTATATTTATAATTTCAAAAAGACGGTATTGTTAGAAAATAAGATTTGTTGATAAAAAATAAAAAATTGACACTCATAAATATATGACCTGATGATTTCAATTTTTTATAATAAATATACATGTATTATAAAATAAATGAAATAACTGAATTTTTATTAGATATATTTTAAATATGAAATTTTATAGATATAATAATTTTTTTAAGCTACAATCTTAAAGATAAAAAATATTTAAGCAATACATTCAAAGATTTGTTATTTTTAATCACTATGGATCCAACATTGATTTAAGCATATTATATTTTGATAATCTATAATACTTTTTTCATACTTTTTAATTTATAGCTACTTTATTCTATCTAAAATTATTTTAACTGATGAAATAATCTTAATCTTTTAAATTTTCATCTAATTATCAATAGGAACATTCAATAAAAAGTTATTTGTATAAGGATGATTTTAAAAAACAACACCAATATAGATTTCTAATGCGCTTTGAAAAATCATCATTTTCAAACCAAAATAATTATTAACTCAAAGATAAAAATTATAGTGGTGATGAAGTTTAGATACAAACTAATGAGAAAATTTTTTATACAAAACTAATTCAAAGTGTTGATATAACATCAATAAAAGTGAAATTAAAGTAATGATAAAATAATTACATAAAGTGATCTAAATGATGAAAAGTTTTTATGCAAATTGATAAAAAACTTGCTAGAATTGGAAAAAAGTGTTAAACTATCTTGAAAAGATAGAAAGTGAAAATTTTTATCAACTAATAAACAAACAAGAAGAATTACAAAAGATTTGTGTTAGTATTTATTCAAATTACAAATTAAATTCTAATTTAACTACTCATGTTAAAATGAGAGTTAGAGTTAGTCTTTTTGTAATTTGTATAGCCAAGTCCAAGCTACAGCTTGCAGTACACACTATGTAGTTTTTTCAATAAAGACTTTGTTGTTTCTTTAGATGTAGTAAGATAGGGAAAAATCACATATTTTCTTGTTAGCATTGTTGCTATGTTTGTGGTTGTGTTGAATTTGCATGTTTCCAATACAATTGGTATAAGAGCAATTTGTAACAATTCATGAAGCACTTAAGCAATGTAACAATTCCCTGCTACACTTTCATGAAGTACGTGACAAGGTTCAGAAGTTGATTTGCTCTTGATGTGTTCACTGTTGATGTTGACGGCGTGCAAAGATTGAATTGTGGGGGCTGACAATTCATACATCAATCAAAGAAGTACATTGAAATCATAAGCCAAGTTTGGAAGCAAAGC